AATGCTTGTTGAAGATTGATTTTTTTTTATTAAATGCTTAAGCATTTCAATGTGCTCTTTTGTAACATTTTTCCTTGTTTTACGATTGGTACTGCTATTTTCTATTCCATCCATAGGGATGTATAATTTGATATTAATAATAATTATAAATTATTAAATTTAAATCTAGATAAATGAATAATTAAATAAATAAGTAACAAAGTAACAAAAACTATAAAACACAAAAAACCACAGTTATCACCAAGTTCGCTAAACCTATCATTCACCAATATTCGTGGTCTTCGAAGTAACTTTTCTTCTGTTGAGTTATCTCTTGCAAAGTTCACCAGACCTACTTGCTCTTTATGAGACTAATTTGAGTTCAGCTGTCTCATCTTGTGATCTTAGTGTTGATGGTTATCTTCCTTTAATTCATAAAGACTCCAATAGTCACATGCTTGGCCTAGGCATTTACATTCGTAATAATTCACCCATTTGTCGGGAAACTAGATTTGAATACACAGACTACTCTTTTATGTGCTTTCGTTTAGCACCACTTCACTCTATCACCTTTCTCTTTGTTCTATATCGCTCTCCTTCATCTTAAGACTGCACTCTTCTTGATGTTATTTGTGATTATATTGACCAAGCCCTCATTTTTTATCCATCAGCCAATATTGTTGTTGTCAATGACTTTAATGTTCATCACACTGAATGGCTTGGCTCTAGTGTCAGTGACTCCGCAGGCATTAAGGCCCACAACTTTCTCAATCCCTAACTCAAATAGTCAACTTTCCAACTCGCTTTCCAGACAACCCGAATCATTTACCTTCTCTACTCGACTTATGTCTTGTTTCTAATCCTAGTCAGTGCTCAATTTCTGCACACTCACCCTTAGGTGCTTCTGATCATGGTTTGGTCTCTCTAAAACTATTATCTCATTCTTCTTTACCATCAGAATCCCCCTATCATTGTACTTTTTACAACTACCTTAAAGTTGACTGGGACTCTTTCCGTGATTTTCTTTGTGATGGCCCCTGGGTAGAAATCTTTCGTCTTCCTGTTGACAAATGTGCTTCTTAGATAACTTCGTGGATTCAGGCTGGCATGGAATCCTTTATTTCCTTTTGACAATTCCAGGTGAAGCCTCACTCTTCTCCATGGTTTTCCTCACATTGTGCTGCTGCAATTGCCAATCGAAACCATTACTTCCATATCTATCAGCAAAACAATTCTCCAGAAAATAGACATCTGTTTATTACTGCGAGGAACCATTGTAAAAAGGCTATTCTCAGATCATGAAATCTCATATTTCATCAGAAAAATTAGGCTCTCGTGACTTCTGGAGAATCTTTAATAGTTTCAATAAAAAGGGCAAGTCTGTAATTCCACCTCTTCTGTACGGTTTAGACTTTGTCACCTCACCTAAAGACAAAGCTGAATTGTTTGCCAAGAACTTTTCATCAATATTATTTCTCGATGCCACTAGTTGCGTTCTACCTGATATAGCCGTCAAACAGGTTGATCCACTGCTCGACATCCGTATTACTCCAGCTTCTGTATCTAAAGTGATTTCCTGCTTAGACTCTTCTACAGCTTGCGGCCCGCACAACATACCTGTTCTAGTCTTGCAGAAGTGTTCTCCGTAGCTGTCGTCTATCCTTTAAAAAACTATTTAACAAGTGCTTATCAGATTCTTGTTTTCCAGCCTGCTGGAAAGCAGCATTTGTTATCCCTATTTTTAAAAATTCTGGACAGCGATCTGATTCGCCTAATTATCGTCCCATTAGTCTTTTTCCTATCATAAGCAAGGTTTTTAAATCTTTAAATAACAAACACTTGATCTCGAATCTCGAATCTCATAACCTACTTTCTGATCATTAATATGGATTTTGACCTTCTTGTTCTACGGCTGATTTGCTAACAGTAATAACAAATAGGTTTTATCGCGCATTAGATAAAGGTGGAGAGGTTAAGGCCATCACTCTTGACATTTTCAAAGCGCTTGATAAAGTTTGGCATGCTGGTCTTTCCAACCATAGTATAAAAGTTGTCCTTGATGGACAGCATTCTACTTATTCTGTAACATCAGGGGTTCCTCAAGGTTCAATCCTTGGCCCTATACTCTTTTTAATTTACATTACCCATCTTCCAGATTTTCTCACATCTAAGGTGGCATTGTTTGCTGATGATACTACCATTTATTCTTGTCACGATAAGAAGCCAACTCCCTCTGATTGCTTGCAGGGGGCATCTGAGCTTAAAAAGGATCTCACTTCTGCTACAGCATTGGGCATACAGTGGCTGGTGAACTTTAATTCAGATACAACTCAATTTTTTTCAGCCAATCATTATCGCAATAATTTAGATCTTTCTATATTTATGAATGGTAATGTACTTGATGAGTCTCCTACCCTTCATCTTCTAGGATTAACTCTTACTTCTGATCTTTCTTGGATACTTTATATCAAATCCGTTGCAAACTTAGCATCTGCTAAAGTCGCTTCTCTTTATTGAGCTCGTCAGTTTCTTACTCTGGATTCTATTCTTTATCTCTATACTTCTCAAATCTGGCCTTGTATGGAATACTGTTGCCATATCTGGGGTGGATCTTCTAATGATGCCCTTTCTCTTTTAAACAAGGTGCAAAAACGCATTGTAAACATAGTTGGACCTGCTCTTGCAGCCAACCTTTAACCTCTGTCACATCGTCATAATGTTGCTTCTCTTTCTCTTTTCTTCATCTTTTCTACATCATTCTCTTTCTCTTTCTCTTTTGTGCCATCTACTAAAATTCATTCTCGTGTTACTCGTCATTCAGTTAAGTCTCATCTATTTTCTGTTACTGTTCCTAAGTGCTTCAAAAACTCTTAATTTTCTAGTTTTTTTCCTTGTACATCAGTTCTTCGGAATTCGCTTCCTTCATCTTGCTTTCCTGATTCATATAACTTGCAATCTTTTAAGTCGTCTGTCAATCGTTATCTTGCTCTACAATCTTCATCTTTTCTCTTCTAGTAACTTCCAACACTAATTAGTGGTTACTTGCAGCTTTGTTGGAAGCAAAGGTGTTAAAAAAATAAAATAAAATAAATAAAACTATAAAAATTAGATATAAATACAATTTTTTTATCTGTAAATTTGGTGTTTAGAAGTTTGTGGGTAGAGGAATTTTCCTAGTTTTTTTATGCTTCTAAGCTGTTAGGTTATTTTTGAATTGTAATAGATAGTTATCTCAAATCATTGCAAATAATAAAATAGAAATCATTTGATGCTAAATCTGTAAAATCTTTTATAGCTTCATACAACAGTTGTATAGTTTTATAGCTTCATACAACAGTATGAAGCTTCATACAACAGTATGAAGCTTCATACAACAGTATGAAGCTTCATACAACAGTATGAAGCTTCATACAACAGTATGAAGCTTCATACAACAGTATGAAGCTTCATACAACAGTATGAAGCTTCATACAACAGTATGAAGCTTCATACAACAGTATGAAGCTTCATACAACAGTATGAAGCTTCATACAACAGTATGAAGCTTCATACAACAGTATGAAGCTTCATACAACAGTATGAAGCTTCATACAACAGTATGAAGCTTCATACAACAGTATGAAGCTTCATACAACAGTATGAAGCTTCATACAACAGTATGAAGCTTCATACATCAGTATGAAGCTTCATACAACAGTATGAAGCTTCATACAACAGTATGAAGTTTCATACAACAGTATGAAGTTTCATACAACAGTATGAAGCTTCATACAACATTATGAAGCTTCATACAACAGTATGAAGCTTCACACATTAGTATGAAGCTTCATACAACAGTATGAAGCTTTATGTTAAATTGTTAAATCTTGCAACTTTATGAAGTAGAAGTAGTTAATTACTAAAAATAAATTAATAGAAGAATAAGATTCCTCAAATATTAATATTATTAATATCAATTTACTATTAATATTATTAGTATTACTTTACAATTAATATTATTGATATTATTTTACTATTAATCAAGATCTGAATGTTTTACGATCTTTTGAGATTAAAGATAAAGCTGGTATTCTTTTATTTAATATTTATACAAATTTTATTTATTATGATACCAAAGAAAAAGTAAATTTAAAGCAAAGTAGATGATTTTGAAAAACTATTTGTAAAACAAACATGATTTAAATTTTTGAACATTTATTTTAGTATTTTATTTTTAGTTTATTTATTTTATTTTATTTGTTTTAGTAATTTAGTATTTTAGTAAATATTGAACATTTATTTTGCTACTTTTGAAATGTTTT